TGCAAACGAAACGTTCCACTCCAACTTGTTGGCGTTCTCGTAAAATACCGCCTGCCCGTCTACGAAGACCTCCAGTGGCGTTGCTGGTGATGGACGGTCAGAGCCACCGTTGGCGACCATGGAGACTTGGATAGTGAGGCCCGAGATAGTGTTGGAGACAGCTGCGACGCACTCAATAAGAGGCTTGTTATTGGGTGGCGAGGAGAATGCCTTTCGGATGATATCGGTGGGTAGGGCAGTAAGAGGAGGCGGTATACGTCTCTTGGTCGCCCGTTCGAACGCATATGCATACTCCAATAGCTTGGTATCTTCGTAGGCCTTCCCAGCGAATGTGATGTTCACAGGCATGTTTTTGTCGCTCATGACACCCATGGGTACACTAACAGTAGGTACACCGAGATGCCTGATCGCGCGATTACCGTTGGAGTATTTCACGCCATTCTGGAGACTATGTGTCGTACTGTCAACGTCGAATTCAAGATCTGCGAGACCGACATCGCCCTGCGCAGGAAATGCAACGACATCCAGCCCATTTTTGTCCATCCAATCTTCTAGATCGCGTTTTCTTTGGGCTTCGAGAGCTTTGAGAGCTTGCTCCATACCCTTTATGTCATGTATACTACCATCTTGGACCATCTTGGGCAGACCGGGGTAATCAATCCAATTCCTCACTTCGAGAAAGCGATCCGGCTTGTAGTCTGGTGGCTTTGGGAATAGCATCGCGGGATCTTTGATGTCGGCTAAGCACTTGATGCTGGGATCATTGTTGTCTACGAGAAAAGCGTTCCACGCTTGGGCGATAAGAACGCCTCGCTCGAGGAGGTTCCAGTTCGCGGGACGTCCATCGATGTTGTTCGCCTCACCTGAACGGGAGTCGTTTTCGTAATTTGTTATTAGAGGGAAATCAGTATAGACGATTTCTGCCCCCATAGACTTAATGTCTTCCGCTGCCTGTTGCCATATTGCGACGACCTCTGGTGAGACGTAAGGATGCTTTGCGTGCGGATCTGAGTCTTTCTGGCCAACGTACATCTTCGGCACCCCGACCCTCTTATCTTGCAGCGCTTCGCCGTTTCGTAGAGTAGTGTAATCGATTGAAGGAGGCTGAGGTATCTGCACATGCTTTTGTTCGCGTATGAAGTCCCCTGATGTGTCTTCATCTGGAGTAGCGATGACATTCAGTATTTCCAACATGTCGTCCACCGATCGCGCATACGGAGTTGGCACATCGCATGTGATGTACAAAGGCCACAACCCGCGACAGCTCAAGAGCCCCTTCGATGGCGTGTAGCATACGATGGCGTTGTTGGACGCTGGACTTCGTCCGCTGCTCACGGTCTCGCTACCCATGCCGAAAACTGCCATGTTGGACGTCACAGACGTTGCAGCACGATTTGAAGACCCAGATGAGAAGGCGCCAGTGAGGTACTTTGAGTTATACGGCGACTCTGCACGACCATACATGCCTCTCTGCATACCACCCGCAGCCATCGGTGGCATGTTAGTCTTTCCAATCAAGATCGCTCCCGCAGCTCGAAGCTTCTCAGCGATTGCAGAGTCGCCGCTTGACATGACACCTTTCAGCGCAGGTGAGCCATCTGTGACTGTCATGCCGGCAACTTTGTAACTATCTTTGATCGTATAAGGTATACCTTCCAAAGGTCGAGGCGTGAGACCTTGGGCACGCCGAGCATCGGAAGCTGCTGCATCTTGGAGGACCTTCTCGTTGAATACGGTAAAGGCGTTCAGGCCTTGGATAGTGTCGAACTTGGCAATGCGATTCAGACAGCTGATGACAAGATCCACGCTGGTAATCCGTTGTTCGTCGAGAGCTTCTAGATGATGACCGATACTAGCTTCGACAATGTTAAAGTCTTGAGGATTTAGACCAAGACTCTAGATCAGGAAATGAGTCAGTCAATGTCATGCCGTTGGTGGTCGCGAACATACACTATTGCCTGCCATGTTTCAGGAACAGCTTAGCTCAACGAAGGTGTTCCAAAAGGTAGTGAGTCCCAATTCTTGTAGGCGTGTGGTGACGCCAGCGTTGTCGATTGTATGTTCGTGGCCCAGGCAGGAGCAGGATGGGCCGACGTAATCATGTCTGGGAGATAGTCACTTCCCCACTTCTGGATAGTCGGTTGGGCTTTCCCTGTACGGCTAGCTCCATGTAGTGTAGAAGCAGGTGCGTTCCGTATCCATTCCGCATACGGCTTGTATCGCTCATAAAGATGCGTTTAGGGCAGGCGCAATCGCCGCGGCAGCACATGGTCACCATGACCGGACTGTGGAAAATGACATGGACAACGTAAGGGCTCATACTACTCGAATACCTCAACTGTCAAAAAAGCTAAACGCTCGAATATATGTAAATTGTGCCGAAACCCAGTAAGCCCTCTTACCATGGTAACAAATCCCCTAGGCTGTACTTGCCCAGAGCGCCTTGAACCTCGTACTTCCAGCCACCAAACCACAGGCACCCATCCATCCCAGATTCCAGCCTGGCAAGCCTCCAGTCGTGCTGCTGAAGTGCAGCGCCATGGGCAACCACGCGCTTGCGATAACAAAATCGGTCCACCACCTGTTGTCAAACTTCTTGTCCTCTTCGTCCTGATATTCCGCAATCGCGCGGCCATCGGCAACCATCTGTTGCCTAGTCACCCTCCTGCGGCCCTCGAGCTGCCACTCGCGCATCAAGCGGAGGAAGTCGCACGACACGCCGCCTAGCCAACAGCGGTAGGCATACAGGTATAAACGCGCAGTCGTCGAATCGCCGCGGTTGAGGGTAGAGATGAAGCGGGGCGAGATGACGCCCGAGTCGGCGAGGAGGGAGATGTTCTCTAGGGCTTGGTAGGAGAAGTAGCTGCTCGCCTGCAGCATGGCGATGCGGTGCAGCACGACATCTGTGCCGGCTTTGGGGCCTGAGGCTAGCGAGCGCAACCAGGCGTACAGCGGGAAGAGACCAAACAGCCTCAGCGTTGTGCGCGCTTTCGAGATGAGGACGGCGAGCGCAGCGATGGGCGGCACCGTGCCGTTGTTCAACAGGGTTGCGGCGGAGATCTTTGCATCGTCGCAAGCGGGGCGGATCAGCGTGAGGAGCCGTGTCGCGAAGCTGGAAATGGACGGCGATTTGGTCTGCACGTAGGCGAGGATATAGAGGGAGTAGTTGAATGTGGAGAGGAATGCGGAGAGGCCGCCTGGGGAAGCTAGCAGTCTGCCCTACATTAGCTCATGCCTCTGACCCTCACAACGACACACGCTCGACCTGACGTACTTGTTCAGCCTCAGAATCGTTTGGTCCACTTTCTTGACGCCTGCAAGCAAGTCGGTCCTGTCCAGGTCCCTCGGATCCGCCCTGGGTGCGGCATCCGCTATCTTATCCACCACCTCCTTGACGTCAGGGGTGTCAGTCACATTGGACGCTTCGGGCTGGGTGGGCTTCTCGGTTTCGTCAGACATGGCGAGATTGGTCCGTATATGTAATGATGAGCATGCAGGAGGTCAGGAAGTCTGGGTAGAATGAGGTAAAGGGTTATGCTTCTCCGCACGCAAGCCATGGGGAGCTCATTGCCGCTATCCCCGTGAGCCGAGGCACTGCCGCCAGCGGTGTGCCATCCTCTCAACACCACCTGCATCGTGCTTTTTGACTTGGATCTTTTTGAACTTTGGTTTTTGTTTGCGATACGGGCGCAAATCTACAGACATGGACGCGCTTTGAATCGTATTATGAGCGGGAACCCCCGTCTCTTGCGCTCCGCACTTCATCAAACGCCTTCGACAAACCCCCGGGTTCCACGCCGCTCCACATCCTCTGCATCAAGCCTCTTGATCACATCCTCAATCTCCTCCCAAGCTGCGCGCCCTCGTTCCCCGGATTCGCTCTTTATCGCATCCAGCGTTCGTCTTCGCCGCTCCTTGGGCTCGCTCCTGAGTTGAGTGAGGAACAGGCGTTTCGACTCTTCGAGCTGGGTGCGAGCTTTGTCTAGCACTTGGTCCGTCGGCTTATTGTCTTGCTCAACGTCATTCAATCCACTCTCGAGAAATAGTAGACTGATGCGTGGACTGAGCGTTAGCTTGTTATTCCTCTCACTCTATGGGAAAATAGAGGACTCCCGTCAAAACATACCGCATCTGCGCCAGACTGTATAGCTTCTCTTCTATCTCAGCTCTGTCCCAGGTGCTCCTTGCCTGTCGCCATACCAGATGCCATTTCCCTGTTGCGACATTGCCAGGAAGCTTCCTTGCTATCTCCTTATCCAGATCGTCCAGCCGTTTGAAGAACTCAGTGCTGATAGCATCTCTGCGTTCTATCGACCATGCAAAGTCTCGTAGTCGTGTCGCTTGCGCCTGAACTGCAGCCCAGTCGCTATCACTTTTCACTCGATAGAGCGCAGCTACCTGGTAAAGAGTGCCAGCTATCAGAATGTAAGCGAATGTTAAGATGGAAAGGACGTTGGCGGTAGAAGAGAGTGCGCTGTCGCGACAGTCGCACGTTCTGTAAAGTGATGTCTCCATGGGGTTGATATGAGACACTTCGATGTAGGTCTCACGAACGGCGGAACAGGACTCGAGGAAGGCTGGGGAGTTTCCACTCCTTCGAGCCGTTCCGCGCCATCTTACTTGCGATAGTAGACTGCATACTGGCTTGCGTCGGTGTTGGTTCGGTTGCGGGTAAGTGCCTGCAGCATGCATGTGCTCAGCCATGTCGTCCAAGACTTGGGTTCCCCAGTTCACCTGTCTACGCTTCCGAACGATCCCAGTGTCTCGAACAGTTCCAATATCACACAATGTAGTGAAAGACATCACAGGACATGAGAACGCTCAAAGCCATGCTATTAGCACAGCTAACGTGTTGTGACAAAGACATACTTCAACAATGCCAGCGCAAACACTACGAAAACAAATCACCCACCCGTGGCCTGCCAGGGAAAATCTACATCTTACACGTCGAGATCATCCACCTGAAAAGCCATAATTCGAATCTGCACTAACTGCCGGCCATGGCCATTCCACAGATACAGGGCGCTAAAAGGGCGGGGGCCCCGCTGATAGATGGAGACCAGCACGCACCAGATACTACCAGTGCACCAGAGCAAGCAGTCAAACGAGCCAAAAAGCACCCGTTCGACACCCTCGCGCTCGGAAAGATGGGATACGACTTTAAAATACCAGCGATCATTGCCAGAATCCGTACTAATTCGGCTCAGCCCTTCGACGTGGGCATGGGGTTAGGGGTGATGCTGTACCACATCGTTCCGTTGATATCAACGCACTTGGAAAATCCTATGGAGTTCCACAACAAGGCGCCAACAGCCTTGCAATGGGCAACTGAGTTCGTCGAAGCGGTTGATCAGTATATCGCATACTTGCGTCTTACGGATGGTTGCTCAGAGAAATTTCCTAATGATGCAACCGTCGATCGCAAGAGTCGACGGCCACGGCGCAAATACATGGGGCGGTATACCCACCTCGTCGAGAATGCTTATAAGAACCATGTCCGCGAACAGCTCTGCGACATGTTCCAATCGTGGAGCAAGGTGCAAACGCAGCTCTTCAACAAGGGTATGGATAAAGCTCTCTCGGGAATACAGTGGGTCGTCTACCCGCAAGAAAATGTGGTTCTGGCTGCTGGCGACGACGAGTGGACGATTTGGCTTCGCGGAAGGTGCGAAGAGCTAGGCATGATTGAAGCAAGGGCGGAGAGGAAGGTGTTTGAGGATATTTAGGGACGGGTCTGCCTGAATATGGTTTGAGTGTTTGTTGGTAGTAGCAGTAGACGCAAAGTATTGACCACGGACAGTCGAAGGAAACTAGCACAAGAAGAAATGTGAAAACAGAAGTTGCATTCTCGTGACCTCGGGACCGGCCTCAGGCATCTTGTGCTAAGTCGTTAGTTGGAGATCGTGCTGCGAACATGCGGTTGCTGGGCTGGTGCTGCATAAACAGCTGCAAATTGGTGGATTGCAGGTGGAGTGGTGGAGTGACGAGGGTGACTAGGGACCGTTGGCGAGATTGGAGCGGGCAGAGCGGGCCCACCGCCAAGGCGCCTGCATAGGCATGCTGGGGGCAACTGCGTCCCAGGACTCGAAACACGCGCTCGAAACCGTCGCATTGCCCTCGCACCCACCGCAGCGCCTCTTATAGCCCAACGCCCGAGGCCGGAGAGTCTGTCATTCCTACACTCGCCACCACCCCCGTCACTGCCACCCGCAACAATGGCCGGCCGATTTGTGCGAGCGTCCAAGTACCGTGAGTGTTGATGTCCAACGCCCGCCCAGCCCAACATGCTAACAACGCCTGCCAGGCCACGTCTTTGGCAAGGGCACCAAAAAGGTACGCTCCAATGCCATCCATGGATCTAGCACGCACGTGTACTGACCGTCTTGCAGGAGCAATGCTACGATAACCTCCGCATCTCCAAGAATGCGTGGGACACCAACCTGATCAAGGTCAGCTCTCCCGCACGCGACCCCGTCGTACTTGCGCTCACCCCCCTAGGCCAACCCCGAATACATCTCGGTCAACTGGGAAGCCAGCGGCGGTGGCGCCTTTGCCGTCATCCCCATCAATGAGCGCGGCCGGGCGCCCGACCAGCTCCCTCTCTTCCGCGGCCACACTGCCGCCGTCCTCGACACCGACTGGTATGGTCGCACATGGCATGACAGGGCCGAGTACGACGCTAACCGCGCGCAGGTCTCCCTTCAACGACTCTCTCATTTCCTCGGCCTCTGACGACGGCAAAGTCGGCATCTGGAAGGTGCCCGAGAACTTCACCCTGCACACCGATGCCGAGGAGCCCGCTGATGTCGCGCCTGTCGCCAAGCTGAGCGGCCACATGAGGTACGCCGATGCGCTCGGTCGAGATTCGCATCTAACACTGCCACAGGAAGGTCGGCCATGTCCTCTTCAACACCGCCGCCGAGAACGTCCTCGCCAGCGCGTCTGGCGACTACACCGTAAAGCTCTGGGACGTCGAGGCCGGTCTGCCACAGCTCACGCTCAAGCACAACGACATTGTCCAATCGCTTTCATGGAGCGCCGACGGATCGCTCCTCGTCACCACGAGCCGCGACAAGAAGCTGCGCGTATGGGATGTGCGCCAGGAGAAGCCCGCCCAGGAGGTTCCCGGTCATCCTGGTGCCAAGAACAGCCGCGCTGTGTGGATGGGTGAGACCGACCGTATCGCGACCACTGGCTTCTCGCGCATGAGCGACCGTCAACTCGGTCTCTGGGACCCGCGCAACCCCAAGGAGCCCATTGGCGGCTTCCAGATCCTCGACTCCATCTCCGGTGTCTGCATGCCCTTCTGGGACGACGGTACACAGTGCTTGTACCTCGCCGGCAAGGGGTACGTCTGACCTCCCAATTTTATGGCCATACACTAACTTGCGCAGTGACGGCAACATCCGCTACTACGAATACGAGAACGACAAGTTCGAGTACCTCTCCGAATACAAGTCCGGCGACCCTCAGCGCGGTATCGCCTTCCTTCCCAAGCGGGGTATCAACCTGCACGAGAACGAGGTCCTGCGCTGCTTCAAGACTGTCAACGATGCCTACGTCGAGCCCGTATCATTCATCGTCCCCCGCCGTTCCGAGATGTTCCAGAGTGATATTTACCCGCCTACGACAGGTCTGAAGCCAGGTGTTTCGGCTGCCGATTGGTTCAGCGGAAAGACTGCAATGCCGCCCAAGATTTCACTTGAAAGCGTCTATGAGGGCGAAGCCCCCAAAGAGGTGGAAAACGACTACAAGCCTTCCCAGCCGGCCACCAGTCAGCCATCCCCCGTCAAGGCCGAGCCGCCCAAGCCTGCGCCCGAGCCCATACCTACACCAGTCGCTTCTCGTGGTCCACCACCATCTATGAAGGACAACAAGGATTCTATGGCGTCGGCAGCTTCTAAATTCGCGGACAAGGATGCTTCGGACAACGAGAGCGCGTCGAGCTTCGAAGAGATTCCCAAGCCAGCAGAGCGCCGCACTTTCACTGCTTCCCGCCAGGAAGAGAAGGTTAAGGGCCCCACTATCTCCAAGGAACCTGAGAGCGCCAAGTCCACTCACAGTCCCACACCTGCAGCATCCTCTACACCCACCTCATCTGCTGCACCTGCCTCTTCTACGCCCACTGCGGCCGCTACGACTTCCACACCTAGCGCCGGTGGCCCTGCTTCCGCTCTCCGCGATGCACTAGGCGACATCAAGTCACAGCTTGAGCAGCAAAACAGGGTCATGTCGGACCAGACCGATCAAATCGCACTCCTTCTGCGCGAAGTCTCGATGCTCAAGACCAAGGTTGCCAGCTCCGAGCCCTCGGACCGTGAAAAGGATGAGCGCATCAGGCAGTTAGAGCTCGAGCTTGAGGAAGCCAGGTCTTGAACATGAGGACCTTAAGTTTCTCATGCTTGGTGCTGACGCTGTTAGAAAACTGAACGAGGACTATATGTATCTGATCACTCATCAGGGTGTTGCAAAGAAATCGTCGTTTGGATAAGATCTCAGGGATATGAGTGGCATTATCCGGCTGGCGAGCTGTTGGTAGGGGCCGATGTACGATGATTGGGGGCTGTTCTGTGTATGCGTATCGTTTGTCTGTCGAACTTGCTTTCGTTAGCAAGGTGTTTGGGTTAGCGGCATTGTATGGCACAAAATTCATTACTTCTAGTTTAGTGACTATTTTTCCGCGGCCTCGACATCTGGACATCCGCTGAAAATGTACGCGCAATTTCTAGCAATCCTGTTGTTGGTTGACTCAGCAACATGGTCGCCATAACTAACGCTCCGGACCTCCTAATCTTGCACTCTCCAGGGCTTGCCTTCTTCTTCCCACCGTTAATTCTCCCTAACCATCTCGTCTCAATCTTCACACGTGGCGCGTTGCCAAGCCTGCCAACGTACGCAGACCGACTGCACCGAATTTATTGTTACCTCCATACAGAGCTCAACCGTCCCTGTGCTTCGCGCCCGTCCACGGCTCACCATGGCAGCGTATATCAACCTTGACTTGCAAGGTACGTTACCAGTACAATATTATACACGGTCTGTTCTTCTAACGTAGAACGAGGGGCCTTCTATTTTGCCGGACATCGTTCTGCCGAAGATGACGCCATGCTGCAACTATTTTCGAGCAGGCTTGCGGGCGTAGCAAGAGGTGCGTAGTACCATCATCGCCCGGCATAGACGGCAAAAAGTGCTCATAGACGTAGAATCTACTTTTGATGTTTTGTACTCGCAGGTTGCCCGGGATTGGCAACAGCGGGACGACCTCCTCACACCCTTCAACGACCGCCGATGGAGTCACGTTAGAGCGGTCTGGACCTTTGACCTTGATCGCGATATTCTGCGATTGGACCAGACAGATCGCAACCTTTGGGTTCCTCTCGACCTTGTTCGCCAGCGTTCCATAACCATTTCCGATTTCGAGCCTTGCGAACCACCGCCGACACTTACCAAACATGCCTTGCAATCCGTTTACTCAGCACGCCGCCCAGTGGTGTTCTGGAAAATGAGACGCAAGAACATCGACCTGCCGCGCCTACAGCGGCGCAAGGCTTTCGTCTCTAGGATACTTGCCGACTTTGCATTTCAGTGGAGGCATGTCCTTTGCGGTCGTTACAACAACTCTACGTTCCGGAGGCTTGCCACTGCTGTTGTCAGGATTGTTGCCCTGGACTTTGCCGTCGAAGAAGCAACGCTCGCACACCAAGCCATTGGCCGCTACCTGGTCTGGATAGACAATCTCCCAGAGTGGGACTTTGCAAGTGGACACATTGTTAGGGTCGGTGGAACGGCCATCGTCATATGCCAGCATACTCCGCACGCGGTCACGCTGATTCGAAATGATTTCAGGAAGCAGATTGTGTCCACTCCTGGTTCGGCGGAAAGAACTTCCACTTACCTCATACTCTCGGTGCGAGAACTTATTCTGTTTCGGATAAGCAGGGATTTCGAAAAATATACGGAGTCCATGCGTCTATTTGACGGGGTGCATCCTCCATCTGGAGAAGCTATCGAGCTCCTTCTCCAAGCCACGCAGACCAGCCCCACTATGGCTCCTCTTCGCAAGCTCCCTGTTGAGCTACAGGATGCGATCATTGACAAGGTATCAGAGGAACCAATTGAGAGCGCCAGGGTTGGCTGCTTACTTGATGCTGGATCTGTTTTTACGTGGAGATACAACGACCGGAATATTGAAAGACAAGTCAGCCATCTGTCTAGGACGCCTTTGTCACATATTTACTTCGGTGGCTACCCTAGTGGTATAGCATATAAGTAAACGTGTTCAAAATGTCCGTTGTCAGATATCAATCTGATCTATTAATCCATCGCACAGTAGGAAGCTTGTCGGTTATATTGATCATCCACGGATCATGAACCGTACCCGTAGTAAAGTGATAGTTGCAAAAGAGTCAGACCTTCCTAACTAATGATACACCCACAACATCTCAACGCAACAACGTGAACCTTGATCGAGACGTGCCTCAACCAACCTGCATCCCACCCGGCAACGCCGTCAGCCAACCATCAATATTCTCGCCAACCATATTCTTTACATTGCACTTATTCTGCGTCGCAATATTCTGCTTCTTCAGCGTCGGCGCTGACACATAGTTATTCCCATCCATAGCCTTCTGCAGCGAATCGTCCTTCCAGCCGAACAGGTAGTCCGCATGCGTCGAGAAGCCAGTCGCGTCGCCGCTAGACCAGACAAAAGGCTGGCTACCATCGC